TTTTAAACCTAGCTAAAATGTTATAGTGTAATTTATAAGCATATTACAGTAATAAATCTTAACTGTATTTGGGAAAATGCAGCAGTTTACATTTAATTGGAACCTAATTCATATATATTCACTAGGGTCATTATTTCTACATCTTTCTAAAATAGAATTTCACAAATATTGCATATTTTGGGTATGATACTTAATATTTTGATATTCTTTAGTAATGTTGTACAGTGATGCACTCAGTTAATTTAATAGCATAATTATTACAGGAGTGTATGAAGTAGATAATTATTTAATCTTAAAAATTTAGATTTTTTTTCTTCCCTGATAGTATACAATTACTCTAACCTGGCTTTGTGATAGATTATTTGTTCACATTAAAGTTCTGATATTAAAGAGGCTGAAGTCTTTGTTTCTCAATTGAGGTTAATTATTGCCTTAATTTTTCTTTAATTTATTTATTCCAGTGGACTAGTAGAAGTTAACCAACTAGACTAACTAGTAATTTTGCCGATATTGATGTTAACTAACAAAGTGCTGATATTTTGGATTCTTAGCTTGTTGTATATAAACTTCGTTGAAGATTTGAAATTGTTCTTTGGCAAAAATATTGGGTGCACGTTAACTACATTGGAGACCCTCTTTATACAGTCATCCCACATTATCTGCTGAGGATTGGTTCTGAGACCCCCTCAGATACCAAATCCATGGATGCTCAAGTCCTTATGTAAAATGGCACAGTATTTGCATATAACCTATGCACATCCTCCTGTATACTTTAAATCATCTGTAGGTTACTTATAATACTCAATACAATGTAAATGATATGTAAATAGTTGTCAGTACATAGCAAATTCAAGTTTTGCTTTTGAGAAGTTTCTGGGAAAATTTTTTTTTTGGTCTGTGGTTGTAACAGGTACAGAGGGCTAACTGTACCAGCTTTTTGTTGATTCTTAAAGTAGATGGAATATTTTCAGCATTATAAGAATCAACTCTGATCAGTTTTAAATATTAGAAATTAAAGGCTTGAATTACCTTCTTAAAATCTGTGAGATATTGTATAATAACTTGGCCTTTTTCAGTTTGCAAGAAATTTAACTTTAGATTTAGGTGAAGGATAGTGTTCTCTAACCTGGCTAATGATATAAGGAGAGAGACTTGTGAAGTGTACAGGACTTCCTACAAGTTCAAAGGACTTTAATGACACAGTCTCCTCCAAATAAGAACTTAATCCAGAATGTTTGAGGAACCAAATAATTTTACTAGGGCAGCTTCTAACAAAATGCATTATACATCAGAATATAAAAGTAATTTTCCTCTGTAAGAGTCTTTTCTTTAGTTTGCTTCAAGGTATTTGATGTTGACGGTGATGGAGTTCTAAGGTTGAACTGAGAGACACGTGGTTGCACATTTAGAGGTCTGGATGGACAACAGCACTGATGATATCCTGGTAAAGTCTGATTGTATACATTTTCTTGCATGTAAACTTTCAACAGGAACATAGAGTGAAGAATTTTTCAAAAGAGGTTGAGAAAAAATTTCTTACTACTTCTAGTTGCTATATTATGCTACTCAAAATATTCATGGCCAAAGATGCAAAATTGGGAAGAGAACTTGCCTTAGAAAATTTAATAGACTAAATGTATTACGTTAAAAAAAAAGAAACCACAGGAAAATTCTCATAAATTTTTAAGGCAAACAAGCAATCTATTTCTGGTAATTAAAAAAATATATATACATACTTGACCAAAAATATTTTATACTTTGGCTACTGGCTAATAAAAATGATACCTGCTCTTTCCTAACTACTGATTTGGGTTTCTGTTTTTAAAGGAATTACATGTGGATCTATCCAACATTGTAGAAGACACATTGAATGCACATGACACCACAAAGGTGAGTCTAGCAGAGACTAATTTATTCTTTTCTAGATATACGTTATATTCTGAATTGGTATATATACCTTACATATACATACTTGAATCTCTTCTACATCATCCCTGCTAAATGCTTATTTGGACCTGTGGTTACAATGCCTCCAAGTTGTCTCAAAGGAAAGCCTATTCCATCTTTAAACAACTCCATTAAGTGTTATTTACATAAAAACATTTATTATATTTTATAAGCTAGCCATTTAATAAAAATTAAGTATACACAACCCTTGCTATCTGTAGTTTATAATCTTTACTTCTCCCATTTTAATACATTATGGTAAGAATAATTAAACTATAAATTAGTATGTATTTATGTATGATTGTGCATGTGTGTAGAAGAATTTGTTAATCTATAATTTGCTCACAAAGTCACTCAACTTGGAAAGCAAGCTTCATATTATAAAAATTACCTCACTCAGTTCAGATTTTGCCAAAGGTATGTTTTTAGGTAACCCGACAACTACAGATGCAGAATTATTAATCTTTCCCCAAAATCACATTTAAACTGAAATCATAAGAAATTTTTACTGTTGGCTTTGCAGCTATTAGTGACTGTCTAGAAGTGGTCAGACTTTGTTTTCATCCAGTGGTCTTAGTGTCAGGAAGAGCTCCTTTTATTGTTTACCATTTAAATAAGAGTTGGAAAAACTCCCAAGTGGAGCTTTTCTAGTGCCATATGACAGCAATCAGAACATGCAGGAATAATCTTGAAGGTTTGATTTGTAGCATTGTTTTTACCTGGCTCTTTACTGCCCCCTCTTGATGTTAGAAAATGCTCTATTGCAGAATACCTTGGTTAGTAGGGCAAAAGGAAATGAAATAAAGCCCAATCACTTGAGGCTATGAAAGATTCTGTAAGATTTTATGTTTTAAAGAGTTTGAGTGTTAACTCTGCTATCCTTTAGGAATATTAAATTGATAATGTGCTACTCATAAAGCACTATTTTGATGATAAAATGTTTTCCTCTGTCTTTGGGCCAGCAAGCAAGTTATTGGAGGAGTTATTAAAAAAAAACCCGGTTTCAACCATGTGAATCCCAGTCTTGTACATCTAATTTGTTTTAATCATAGACAAAAAATATATAAATACTTCAGTTATACAGAACACAAATAAACTTTATATGGAAACATTTTTGTTCTACTAATACAAAAAATACAATTTAATCAAATTTACAGTATTCTTTATGTGTATTAAAGAAATGGGGTGTTTTAAAGTGATGTCCAATGATAAAGTTTTATGAAAGTAATACACATATATTTCTGGAAATATTGCAACTTGCTACATTTTGGGTGGCAGTATGACTTTAAAATAGTTAATGACATGAATACTTCTGTACTTTTTTACTTGTAATGTCAGTCGTAAGAACTTGTCCTTTCAAAGACCATCATTTTTTATGTATGAAATATGTCAAAGTGAAGAGTTATTGTGTGAGGGTACTAAATTG